ATGATTTAAGAGAGAACAATAGAACAGGAATTAAAATACTGTGTTTGTGGGTTTATAATATAAAAAGATTAATATGTATCACCGTAATTAGCATGGAGAGTGGGGTAGAGAGGAAAGGAGCTATATTGTAGCACCATTTCTACAAAGTTTTAAAGTTAATTTAGTGATAATCTGATTTAGATGGTTTTCAATTCAAATAAAATCCCCAGGAAAACTGTTACTGGGCTATAGATTGTGTAATTCCTCCATTCTTGTCTTCTGGAAGGAAGAATTCAGTCAAGAGACTTATTACAGAGTTAAAGGCACAAAGGGTTTCTTTTTATTAGCAAAGTGGGAGGAAACATGAATACTCCAGGGAGAGAGGAGCAGGCTGACTCTGAGGATGGGTAGCAGCCCCTCGAGTTTTGCCTTGTGTTTTATGGGGGTTTATTTGGTTTCCTCCCTCCTGTTTTGTCATTATACACCTCCCTTTGGCTCCACCTTGGTTCCTCCCCTCCAGCCTTTTTGTGCATGTTTTTATCTGTCATCTTCCCATGAGAACCTAAGTGAAACCCATTGGGGCACTGCAAAGCCTCAGTGTAAATGATATAATAATACTATAATGGCCTCAGGATTACTAGTAGACAAGGTTTCCCTTAAGTGCTTGCTCCAAAACTGCTTATCAGTCTGTGCTAAACTGCAAAAGGGACCAAAAAGGAGTTGGTCTGAGTGAGACTGGGTGGAGACTAGGTGGTCTGCTTTCTTCCTCTTCTCCTCCTGCTCATGTCTGTCTATCTGGCTACTCTAACAAAACCACTATGAAAGTAACTTCTAAAAAAATTTGTAAAAAAACAGCAACAAAGGAACTAAAGTATCACTTTAGGTAATATCTATTTAACATCAAAAAGGCAGTAAGGGAAGAATATAGAAGTAAAAAAGATATAATAAAAACAAATAGCACAATTACAGGTATAAATCCTATCTCATAAAAACTATGCTAAATGTAAATGGCTTAAACATTCCAAAATGCAGAGATTGGCAGAATGGGTGAAGAAACAGGACCCATTAATAGCCAACTGAATGCGATCTATAAAAGATGCACTTTAGATTCAGAGACACAAATAGGTTAAAAGTAAAAGAATGTAAAAAGATATACCATGCAAACAGTAAATAAGGCTGGAATGGCTATATTTAAATCAAACAAAATAGACTTTAAGTAAAAATTGGTACTAGAAACAAAGAAAGCCATTTTATAATGACAAAAGGGTCAATTCATCAGCAAAATCAAGTATAAATGTATATACATTTAAAAACAAACTATTTTGAAATACATGAAACTATAGAATTGGAAGGAGAAATAGAATATTTAACAAAAGTAGTTGGAGACTTAAGTATTCTTATTAATTGGTAGGACAACTGGACAAAAAATCAGCAAGGATATAGAAGACTTGAATACATTATCAATTTGATCTATTAGACATATATATCTCCACTTAACAACAGAATACACATTCTTTTCATGGAACATTCTCCAACATAGACCCTATATTTAGGTCACATATCTAAAAGGATTGAAACCATAAAAATCATGCTTTCTGACTAAAATGAAATTAAATTAGAAATAAATAACAATATTTAATTTGGGAAACCACTGAATGTATTGTAAATAACACAGCATATTTCTAAATAACCCATCAGTTAAAGAAGAATATACAAGGGAAATATTTTGAAGTGAGCAAAAATGAAAATGTGCCAAAACCTGTGCTAGCAGCTGCAGCAGTGCTTAGGAGAAATATATAGCTTTAAGTTCCTTTATTAAAAAAGAAAGATCTCAGTAATCTAAGCACTCACATAAAAAATTTTAGAAAAGGAATAATAAGCCTAACAGAACTTATTAATAATAAGACAAACAGAAGGAAATAAAGATTATAGTGGAAATTAATGAAATAGCAAACAGAAAAATGATAGACAAAATCAGTAAAACCAAAAGATGGTTCTTTGAAAAAATAAAATTGACAAACCTTTAGGTAGACCAACTAAGAAAAAAAAGAAGACAACCACTAAAATGAACAATGAAAGGGACATACCACTGACATTTTAGATATTAAAAGTGTTATAGGGAAATACTATGAGCAACTGTTTGCCAACTTATTCAATAACATTAGATGAAGTAAAAAATTCCTAGAAAATTAAATTACCGAAACTGATGGAGAAGAAACAGAAAAGTTGAATAGACCTATGAACAGGAATTAAATTGAGTTAGTAACTAATAATCTTCCTACAAAAATAACTGAGGTCCAGATAGCTTCACTGGTGAATTTTATCAAGTGTTTAAGAAGAAATAACACAAGTACTTGACAGATTCTTAACTGATGATTTCCAAACCAAAAGCTAAAATTTTTATCCCATTAATAGAGAAACACAACTGGTATTCTTCTGGAATATAATTATCCTCAACAAAATATTAGCAAACCTAATAATGGCATATTTAAAAAATTATACTCTATGACAGTGTGAGCTTTATCCCAGGTATGTCAGGTTTGCTTGCTTAACCTCCAAAATTCAATGTAATATATACACTATATTAATAGAACTAATAAAATAAAAAGCTAAAGCCACACTCATACCTCCACTTAACAACAGAATACACATTATTTTCATGGAACATTCTCCATGATATAGAAAAGGCAATCATCTCAATAGATATAGAAAAGGCATTTGACAAAATTTCACACTCATTGGTGATTAATTCTTAATTAACAAACAGCAGGGAACTTCCTCAACCCAACAGAGGGTTTCTGTGAAAAACCAGCAGTGAACATCATACACAATAGTGAAAGACAATGCTTTTCCCTTACAATTAGGAGCATGACAAGGGTATTCACCTTTGCCTCTTTAACTTAGTACTGGAGAGTATAACTAATGCAGCTAAGGAAGAGAGGAAATAAAAGAACCCATATTTGAAAGTAAATATTAAACTGTCATAGATGACATACATATGAAGAAAATTTTAAGAACTCTTTAAAAACGAAGATACTAGAACTAAGAAAAATGTTTAGAGCCACAGAATGAAAGATCAATATAAAAAAACAATATTCTTTTATACATGGGCAATGAATAATCAAAAAACAAGATTCTGTTCAGAATAACATCAAAAAATAAAATGCTTAAGGAATAAATTTAATAAAATTAAGTATAAGTCTTGTACACTGAACATCACAAAAGTTCGCTGAGGGAAATTAAGATATAAATAAATGCAGAGACAGATTCTGTGTTCATAGACCTATATCATTAAGATGGTAAATCTAGTGAAATGGATATCTAAATAGAACTCAATCCCTGTGAAAATTTCAGCAGGTTTTTTTGCAGGAAATGATAAGCTATTCCTAAAATTTATGTGGAAATGCAAAAGACCAGGACTTGCCAAAACAATTTTGATAAAGAACAAAGTTGGAGGACTTTCCCTTCTCAATTTCAAAATTATAAAGCTACAGTTATCAAGACATCGTTATATTGCCAGAAGAGCAGACATAAGTAATATTCATGGATTAAAATTAAGAATCCAAAACAAAATCCTTATTTATAGCCAATTCATTTTCAACAAGGGCACCAAAGCAGTTTATTGGGGAAAAAAGTACTCTGTTCTCAAATTATGGTGGTACCACTGGATGCATGTCCATCTATCTACAAGCCAAAAGGATAAACCTAGACCTTTACTTCACATCACGCACAAAAATTAACTAAAAACTAATCACATACTTAAGCATAAGAACTAAAACAATAAGACTTTTAGAAAAAGAATAGAAAAATCTTTATGACCTTGGGTTAATCAAAGTTTTCTTATTTACAATACCAGACGTATGGTATATTAAAAAAAAATTGGGCCATTGGGCCTTATAAAAATTCAAAACTTCCATGATTGTAAATACACCGTTAAGAAAATAAAAAGGCAAGCAACAGAACAGTTGAAAATACTTGCAAAACATATATCCAATAAAGGATATGTATTTAAAATTTTCAAAGAACTCATGTAAAGTAACTGGAACCATCATGTCATTTTTAATAGGATTGTTAAAAAGGTGTAGTCAGCAGTCTGTCATTTTCTTAAGAGCTAAACACAAAATTATCACATTGACCCTGTAGTTACACTTCTTAAGTATCTGCCCAAGACCTGAATACATGTTCACACAAAGACTTGAATGTGATTGTTCATAGCAGCATTATTTAAAACCAAAATACAGAAATAAATATCCATCAGCTGGTGAGTAGATAGTATGGTATGTCCATCCATTGGATACTATTCAGCAATAAAAAATGAATTGCTGATACATGTTAAAACATAGAAACTTCAGAGACATGATTCAAAGAATCCACATATTATATGATTTCATTTTCATAAAGTGTCCAGAAAAGGCAAACTTACAGAGATTGTTAGATACAGTGATTGCCTAGGGCAGTGGGTGGTAAATGGTCATGAGGGATCTTACTGGGATGAGGAAAATGTTCTGAAACTCATTTATGGTAATGATTATACCATGGGTTAAACTCAGTAAAAATCATTGAGTTGTATACTTAGTGTGAACTTTATTATATGTAAAATGTGTCTCATGAGAGTGTTTTTAAAAAGAAAATGTGGGAAGTAAAATTATATAGCCTTATTTTTAGCCAGAAGCCAAAAATGTTTATATTACCTTTTTATAAATCCATCACAAGTTAGGGATATATTTTTAAATTCCCAGTTACTTTGAACCCTTCATACTCTGTTTGTAGAGGCAGGATTACAGAATTATCAGTTCCTTTAAGACTGACAGTGGTAAATGTGTGTACATTTTTTATGTAATCATATATATCTAGATTCAGAACAGAAAACCCACTGTAGCTACCTTATCTTTGAAGATTATAATTTTCTGGCTATTATAGGTTTGACATTGTCCCTGAAATATTTGGTGAAAAATACCAAAGCCAGTTAAAAGTAACTTTGCTTTTCATTTCTTCATTTGTTACATTTTGTTTTGTTTTAGATCACTGTGTCCACTACTATGATCTTCGTAACACTAAACAGCCAATCATGGTATTCAAGGGACACCGAAAAGCAGTCTCTTATGCAAAGTTTGTGAGTGGTGAGGAAATTGTCTCTGCGTGAGTATTGCTTTCTTTGGAGGTTGAACTTAACATGGAGTTCTGCCATCATTCACATTTATAATGTCACTGTAGGTATTTGTAAAGAGTAACACTATGATTATGCACTTTTTCTTACACAGTAGATTTTTATAAGTTGTCTAATTAAAATATGCTTACGTTCTGGTCTGTATTGCTCACTTTTATATGTTATTTGTGAATGAAGTCCTGATGATACTTGTTTTTAATGTCACCCCCTTAAAACATTTGAACTTAAAACAATTGAACTTCAATTTTAGCCACTGCTTCTCCTTAGGGAGAAAGAAGCAATAGAATGAGATGCAATAGAAGGAGAAACACTTTATTTATTAAAGTCAACTAATATGTTATTGTATGTGTATCTACATTGCAGTACAATAGTATTATTTTTGGTTTCAAGTAACATTGGTTGACTTCTATGATTCCATGTTACTTGATCTCCTTATAGATTTCATGGTGTTTTAAATATGTTTTCAAAAGAACTTTCTAAGAATGGCTGCTTATACCCAACAAATACTTTTGAGAAGGCTTCTGAACTAGAGAACCACAATACAAGCTTTTAGCTATCTTTTATTTTGTTTGAAGGTAACAAGATGTTAACCAGGTAAATAAATCTCAGTTGTCAAAATATTATTGACAGAGCTCTTATAACAGAAGTAGTCCCTTCTTTTTGTTATCCATTTCATAGTTCTTTTCATTTTGTATTACCTTAGTAAATACCCATTCTTAATTTCTTTCTTTTTCTTGTCTATTAACTTCTTCTCAAGCTTAATGATACATTGCTTTCTTCTTTTCACTTCGTTTCTAATCTCTCTTAGGAAATTATTAATGCCAATGCCTTATTCTTGTTATCTCTCACCACATCTGCCTCCACACTGGTTGCTCTAGATAAGAACTTGGTAAAATAAATTGATTTAGCAAGGTAATTTAAATTGAGTTACAAAAAGGGGAAAAAAAGAAAGTGGTAACTGAGCTTTCGAAGGGTGGGGAGGAGGTAATATAGGTAATGAGTTCACAAATATAGTAAATGCTAACTAGTCAAAAATTACCCCATTTTTAAGAATAATAATGGGCAATATATAATTAAATGTTATCCAGATTCAGATGTGGATGAAAGATCAAGTGGTGACAATATTTTCCTTCAATTTCAGATTTAAAACTATTAAATCAGTTTTGATTTCAACTAGTTGAAGTATATGTATATTTAACTGTATACATTGGAAATCTTAGTTGACCTTATTGGTGTGGATATGTTGTTTGTATTTTCACCAGTTTTTTTTCGTAAATCATGATTTGATTCTCTTGGACATATTTAGAGTTTAGCAGTATTTATAGCTGATTCATTCACAAATTCATTTAGAATTATTAAAAAGTAATATTAAAATATTCACATTTCTTGGCCAGTGAAATATATACACACACACACACACACACATACATACACACATACACATACATAAAGGGATATTCAGTGCAACACTGTTGACTAAACAAATTTAAAACAACGTGTCTAATATAGGTGTTACATTGAGGAAACAATGAGAAGCAATTAGAGAAGTATTAAATAGTTTGGAGTTTGGCCTTTGAAATAAGAGTTTGAAGTTTCATTCTTGGCTGTACTATTTACTAGCTGTGGTGGCTTGAAGGTATCCTTAGCTTTCTAAATTGTGATTTCTTCATGCCTAAAATGAAGTTAATAGTACCTATGTTGTCAATCTTTAAGTGAAATATTGTATGTAAAATATTTAGCATGGTGCCCTATTCTGTCAAGGTTAATTACAGAAAAGATGGTTTATTGTGGGTTCATTAAAGATAGAATAATTTATTTTATAGAAAGAATGTAAAACAAATGTGAATGAAGGAGAAGCAATTTACAAAGTAATATACATGGTATAATCCAATTTTTGTAACAAAAAGTCAGAGAAAAAAACTTGGTGTTTCATTCAAGTCCTAAGACTATTGTATCTCTGTATGAAAGGATTTGCAGTGATTTTCATAATCACCTATTTTTTTGTAAGTAACTAGATTTGCATATCATTTCAGTAAGATAAACTACTTATATAGACCATTCAAAGTATTCTACCCCTTTAGATACAACTAAGCTTTGTGAGAATAGTTTATATTCAGCCTATCAGTACAGTTCAATATTGAAAAGTTAATCAAATCAAGTGAAACAATTATATTTCTAAATTAAGCATAACTCCCAATTGAGCTATCTTGTTTGATAATGGTGGTACTGATGACTAATGTTTATTGAGGACTTCCTATTTTTCCAGGGAGTACTGAAAGTGTTTTAAATGGATTAATTTAATTTTCATATTACTTTATAAGATTCATCTAAATCTGTAAGATGAGAAACATATTTCACAATTAACTGATAAAGAAGCTGAGGCCAGGGAGGTTATATAAATTTCCTATGGTCAGAAACGGATTAATGTCATATTGAGAATTCTAACTCAGACAGACTCCAGAGAGTGCATTCTAAACCACCAAACTGGATTGCCTCTAATTAGTACTGATGAATTTCATGCCATGAAATCTTAAATATTTCTAACTTTTTGTGTTTATCTCAGCTCAACAGACAGTCAGCTAAAGCTTTGGAATGTGGGGAAACCATACTGTCTACGTTCCTTCAAGGGTCATATCAATGAAAAAAACTTTGTAGGCCTCGCTTCCAATGGAGATTATATAGCTTGTGGTAAGTGAAGCCATCTTTTCCTGGAACTATTTAGCAGGTATCTGTCACTGAAATTGCATTCAGTGGACATAAACTACATACCATGTCAAGAAATGATCTGTACACCAGAAGAAAACATACTAAATTGTCTTCAAATTGTACTGGAAGATGGATTAGTCTTCTCCTCCTTTACTGAGCACAAGGTCTGACTACATGAAATAGTGTTAAGATTGTTAAATATGTTTTGTAATTGTTCTGCATTCTAACATAATTTCTGTAGATATTACGCAGAAGACAGAAAATACTAATTTCTGCTAATATCCTAGTTTTGAAGATATTATTTTCTTCTTTAGCTTGATATTCGTTTTCCCCTATATAATCTTATCTTCATTAAGCAGCCCATTTGGGTAGTCTTGATCCACTATTCTAGGTCCTTTATTGTTGATAATTTATAAAAAATTAAATCAGAAATAGAAAAGTCAAATTTGGTACATTTGGTTCATATCTAATGCTTGAATATATGAACTTTCATTAGTATTTTCAAAGGACTTGTACTTTATTCAGTAGACTTTCCCTATAAATATATTAACCTAAGTCCTGCCAAAGCAGTTCTCTCACATAATTATCCTACTTTGATAGACTGCTCAGAAATACAGATTTCAGGACTACTCATCTAAGAGTACTTACTGCCTTTGTTGGGGAATGAGAAATGTCATTGAGGTTATTAAAATTTGCCTTTTAAGTGTTATCTCTTTTTACTTTCTAAATAGAAATCTTTTAAAATGTAATTTAAGATTCATCATGCTGTAATAACAAGTTTCTGATTCTCCTCTAGACCTCTGCTATAAATGATATTTATGTGGCAGTATCATTTAACGATAACTATTTCTTTAGATTAGTAAAGTATCTTTTCTCTATGAACCTTTTCTCTCATGATTTGCAAGTAATTCCCAAGAAAGCCTGTGTTCTGGTCTTTCAAATTTAACCATAAAAGTCTTTGAGCTTAAACACTGAGTGATAATTACCTTACGAATGTGATGTCCTAATTCTGAATTGTCCCATTCTAAATTTTTTTCAGGAAGCGAGAACAACTCTCTTTACCTGTACTATAAAGGACTTTCTAAGACTTTACTAACTTTTAAGTTTGATACAGTCAAAAGTGTTCTGGACAAAGACCGAAAAGAAGATGATACAAATGAATTTGTTAGTGCTGTGTGCTGGAGGGCACTTCCAGATGGGGTAAGTTTTCATGTTGGTTTTTTCACTCTGAAGTCTTATATAATGCCTTATGTTTATATTTACACAGGTGAGCTTTTTTAAGTTTCAAATGTATGTTGATATGTGATACGCATTTTTCTTCTTGTGCTTTGTATTGCATCACCAAAAGAAGTTGGCATTGTAGATAGTAATTGAAATGTAATGAATGGAACAGTATCATGCTGATATACTGTCTCTCCTGTGTACCTACCTGTAGCATCTCGTACATACCTCTGTTACAGCATTACCACATCTCTGCATATCTCTCCTATGAGACTTGAAGTTTCTCCAGAGTACATGCTGTCTCATTTTCCTTAATGATCACATGCAATATGTGCTCAATAAATATTCAGCTGAACCTAGGATTGTATTAGGAAGAAAAATTTTGATGTAGATAGAGGAGAGTGGCTTATATGTACACCTTGTTAAATATTATTTCAGGGCAGAATTGCTCTCTACAAAATACATTTACATAGAATGTTAAAGTACATTTAATTGGCTAACAAGAAAGTTGCACTTCTAGGTTGCAAAAAATGTTTCCTCAAACCGGTCACTTTCATACATTTTAAAGTATAGACTTTCTCATAAGTTTTATAAATGAAATAGTTTTATCTTGATTTTTGTAAACATGAGTCATTAATGTCATCTTTAAAAAAATAGCTGTTTAGGTGCTCATTTGGTTTTTATTTTTGACAAACAAAATTCATACTTGATGAGTACTTTATAGAATCTGAATTTCAGGTACAGTTTAACTTTAATTAGGTATATTCTGTTGCTGTCTTCTTTAAAGTTCTATTACTCGACTTCCAGTTTTGCTAATGGCAGACTTAAACCAACCCTTACTCTAAGCAGAACTAGAAGAGTTGGACCAAGTGTACTTATTTTTAAAACAAAAGAAAAAAACCTGTATGAAGGCATTGGAAAGTAAACAAGATAGAAAAAAATTACCAGCTTAGAATGTGAGCCTGGCTTTTGAGTTCACTTTTCCCCTTGGAATATTTGATAATTTTGGTGGAATGGCTAAGAGTACTTACTGTGTCCTCACAGGGTCACAGGGATTGGAGTCTAGTGTTCAGTGCTGTGTGGGTGAAAGCACTTTGGTTTAGGTGCCCAAAGGGATATAGTCCTGGGTAAACCAGTAGATGATAAGCCCTCACAGTGACTGCAGCTCAACTTCAAATCATATCAATCCTAAAATTAACATGAAATGATCCTGAATTTCTAGTGTCCACAGGATACAAAATTAAATCCTCTTTGAAGGAAGATCTTAGAAAGAAGACCATCTGAAGATTTCATTTATTTTTTTTTCAAAATTGCAAATACAATACTAGGGAACAATAAAAAATAGACATAGAACAACAGTCAAGAGAGCATGAATAAATCCAGCCTAAGCAGTGGATAATAGAAGCAGCTCTGGATATTGGAGTTATCAGAAATAGCTTGAAATAACCATGCTGATAAGATGGAAGAGAAGATCAAAGATTTCAACTACAAACTAAAAACTTAAAAATGAAAATACAATTACCAAAATTAAGAACTCAGTGAATGGTTGAGGAAGGTAAGATACAGTTGAAAAGAGAACTAATGTACTTGTAGGTAAAGTTAGGATAAAATATACATGAAACAAAAATGATGAAAAGTATACAGAAATGAGAGAAAGAAGAAAGTTTTAACATTCGTTAGGAAACATAAAAGGAGAGAAAAGAATGCAGCTGAAGGAAATATTAGCAAGGGTTATTGTTAAGAATTTTACAAAATTGATAAAAGATAAAGCAGAGATTAAGTAAGCCTTTGTAACCTACAGAATAAATGACTTGAAATCTACAATATGAACAAAGATTTAATTGCAAACATGGATCCTGGACAGACTTAGGCTTGCCTGAAAATCTAATCTTGGCTCTGCCTTCTCATAGTACCACCTTGTAGAAATATACTGACTTAAGACAAATATGAAATGATATGTGCTAGAAGCTAGTTATCTCTTAAATCTACTATGAAATTCCATCTGTGGTATTGCATCTGGACTGAAAGAACTGTGAAATGGCATATTGGCCTTATGTCTATGCAAAGTGAACGATACAAGGAAACCAAAGCATATCTCTGTATCTATGTGAACCACACGCACCTTAACTATTCTTGGCAAGTATGCATATTCTTTGTGTGGGCTGGGGAGAAATCCAAGAAACTATTCATGTAAATAGTTGTTAAGATGCTATTTATGCTGAATTTCCTATCCTGTGTCCCTCTATAAAGCTGCCTAACCTAGTACTAGATTAAAGCTAATTGTGTCTGATCCTGTGACCCCTGCTGGTGGTAGGACAGTCACAGCTTGACCTATCACAGTAAAAGTGCTGAAAATAAAATATAAAGGGGATTTTTAAAAGAAGGCAGAGAAAAGTATTATCTTCAGAAGACCAGTGATTAGACTGACAGCCAACTTCTCAGTGAAGCAGTGGAAACTGGAAGATCATGGAACCAGATCCTTAGTGTGTAGAAAAACACCTGCCAGTCTAAAATTCTATATCCAGTGAAAATCTCTCAAGAAAATGGTAAAATAAAGATATTTTAGATAAACAAATATGAAGAGCTTGCTACCAGCAGACCTACACTAAAGAAAACCTTAAAGGATATTCTTAAGTCAAGAAGGAAAAGATGCAGAAAGTGAAGATGAAGTTCAGAGATGCAAGAAGGAATGGAAAACAATAGAAATGGTAAATATTCAGTAAATCTAAAGTACATATTGACTATATAAAGCAATGATGCCTTGGATTTAATAAACAAGTAGAATAAACACAAACACAAAATTGACAATAATAATGCAAGTCAGAATGATAAATGTAATTAAAATGTTCTCAAATCCTTGCCTTGCTAATGAAGGAGGTAAAAGAACTAATTATATGGACTGAAAAGGATGCATAGTATAGTTGATAAGGTAAGCTCTGAAGTTGGTTCTTAAAGTGTGCTTCCTAGACCAGCAACATCAGTGTTTCTTGGAACTTTCATTATTTCACAATGAAAAGATTTAAAGAAAGTTCCGTAACTCACTTTATAATGATTCTGGAGTTTAAACCTAATTTTTGTATGTCATTTCGATTAGTCATAAAAATAACTATATTTTCTTAATTTACATGAGCCAGAAGGTGTGAGACTCTCTTGTTCCTTTATTCAGCAAATATTTTTATGTATGCTCAAAGGGTTCTAGAAACTGGAGATAAACTGTGAAAATGGTAAAAAAAAAAAAAAAAAGAGTTCTAGCCCTTTTAGGAAACTTAGAATTTTATTTGCCAGAACAGACAGAAAATAAAGAAGTTGTTATATTAGAAGGTGATGAGTGCTTTGGTAAAAAAGCAGGAAAGTGGGATAGTGAATGCCGAGTAGGGAGTTGTAATTTTCAATTGGTGGTGATAAAATGCTTCATTAGAGTAAAGACCAGAAGAAGATAAAGATGTAATCTATGTTTAAATGTTGAAGTATACTCTAAGTGGAGTACAGTTCAGAGGCCTTGAGCTTAGAATATGAGTAGTGTTCAAGGAACAAAGAGAAAGTCAGTTTTGCTGCACTACAGTGAGCTAGATACAAAGTATTACTCTCTTCAGAGCAGTGAAGAAGAGCCATTTCTTTCAGTAGAGCACTGTTTACCCTTATAAGGACTCTGGCTTTTACTGGGAGTTGGGAGTCTTTGTAATTTTGAGCAAAGCATGATATAATCTGACTTAAATTTTTAAAAAATCAGGCTGTTTCATAGAGAACAAACTGTAAGATATCAAGAGTGGAAGCAGGAAGGCTGTTGAAGTAATCCAGGTAAGATAAAATAGTGGTAAACCAGTGAGAAGTAGTCAGGCCCTGTTCATTTGAAAGTGGAACTAATAGAATTGCCAATAGATTGCATGTGGAGAGTAAAAGCTGAAGTTTTTTTCCCCTAATAATTATAGGAGTGAAGGTACTTCTAACTAAGGTGGAGAAGACTACCAGAGGAACTGTCTTAGGGGAGAAGCCGAGGAGTTGACTTTTAGACCACATTTGAGATGTTATTGGCCATCTAAGTGGACATGCTAAATCTGAAATTCACGGCAGATTGTAGAGCCGGAGATAAGAATTTGGAAGCTGTCAACATATGGTATTTAAAACCAAGAAGCTAGATAGGATTTCTCCAAGAGAATGTAGAAATTAGAGGTAGTACGAGTACCTTACTTGAGGGCACTTCAGTCTTTTTTAATTGTTTGTTTTTTTTTAAAGAAATTCTTGCTTGAAAGGAAAGTACCATGCAGCTAAGGTACAATTTTACAAATTACAGTCCTTTGGCAATTTGGTATTAGTAATTCAAATATATTCCACTATCTCCCACACCCCACATCCACCTTGAAAGTAATGCTACAAAGCTGAGGTAAATTTGGTACAGTACTCTTTACTCTTTATGTCTGTCCTATCTTTTTTATCATCACTGCTTTATTCAGAGTTAGGTAAAGCAGATTTTATATATTTTTATATATATTTTGTGTTTGTTGATCCTTCTGTGGTATGACTCTAATCTGAAACGATTAGAATGAAATATAAATTGATTTAAGAATGCAGATGACTATTTCTGTTCTTAAGTGATCACGGCTGTGTAAAGAGACACCATATTTTTGTTAGAGGCTGATCCTGAGTCCAGCTAAGGCTGTAGGTACTGTTTATGTATCATCATATCAGCTCTGAACCACATTGTACCTAGCTATCTAGTTAGGGGTCACCAATAAGTGAATATCCAATAGTAAAAGGTAATAGTTGTAAAGGTCATGTAAGACTCCTTTAGCTCTTCAAAAGTGACAAAAATAATCTCTCTTCTCAGGAAAAGAATCAGTTATTAAGGATGACTTATTTCCTCCTATGGTTTGAAACACCAGGAGTCATATTAAGCTACTGTATACTAAAGTGGAGGATGTCAGGATAATGATTTCCCTCCCTTAAACCAAGTCCAGCAACTTGGCTTGGGAATCCACCAA